CCATCGTCGCCGCCGCTGCCGCCCCGAAATTGCACATATCAGTATTTACATGGCATTTTCCGTTAGTGGGAAAATGTATTAACATTGTCACTCTCTGTCTGACATTTCCTTTACTAACATGGGCAGTCTCTGAAATTTCATGATTGGATGGTGTATATATGGCTTTGGATAGATTTATTAATAGTCTGCCTGAGCCACTTTAATGTAAATTTGAAAAAGAGAGTGAATAGTTCCATGCTGTTCCATTCAAGCATTTATTTATTTATAAAACGATTTTAACTAGTTTTAAAAAACAGTAATCTCATTACTGTTTGTAATGGGCATCGTGTATAGTGTTTCCTTCCACCTGAGTGCACCTCTCAACACTAAATCTGCAATAGATGATAGGCTGGACTGAACAGGGAAGCTTTACAAAAGTAGACATGTTTTCAAGATGTATCTAAAATGAAAAAAATTACTGGAGCATGTGAAATTTCTGAAGGAAAAGTATTCCACATAATTGGTACCACAAAACCACAATTCCAAATGACTGCAGAAAAGACCTCAGGAGTGTGTGTCTCTGCAGATGACCTAGGTCCAAAGTACACTGCAGAAATAATACAGTTTGAGACCACTTTAACTGCCCTGGCTCAGTGCTAAGGAATTCTGGGAATGGTAGTTTTGTGAGACATTTAGCCTTCTCTGTCAGAGAGCTTGGGTGCCATAATAAATTACAATTCCCAGGATTCCCTAGCACTGAGCCAGGGCAGTTAAGGTGGTTTCAAACTGGATTATTTCTGCAGTGTGTTTTGGACGCTAATGGTTCAAATGGATCTATGGTGAGAAGAGGGTTACTTGGAACCAGGTTCCAAGTTGTTTTAGTCTTTACTAGGGTTCAGATCCAGGGACTCCTCTCTACCACCTTAGTCTCTTGAGGACTTGATATTGCCATGGTCTTAGTCCTGCTACTGTGGAAGGACAAGATTGCCCAGTCAGTGGTTTTCAGAATAAGATGTATTGGAGCAAGCTTTGTAGTTGTTACGGTAATTATTTTCAAGTTGGATTTGATTTATGGCAACCTATGAAAGAGAGATCCTCAAGTGTCCTGGTCATCTCTGCTGAGGTCTGGCAAACTTAGGACAGTGGTTTCCTCAATCGATTCTATCCCCCTGCAATGTGGTCTTCTGCTTTCCCTACTGTTTACTACTTTACCAAGCATTATCCTTCTTTCCAATGAATTATATCATCTCATGATATGGGCTAAGTATGATAGCCTCAGCTTGGTCATTGTGGCTTCCAGGGAGGGTTCAGGCTTGATTTGCAATAAGACCGAATTATTGCTCATTTTGGCAGTCCATAGTATTCACAGAACTCTCCTCCAGCAGCCCACTTTAAATGAGTTAATTCTCTTCTTCCAGCTTTCTTCACTGTCCAGCTTTCACAACCATACACAGAAACTAGAAATACTATGCATGGATGATTCTAACTTGGGGGAAGGCTGCAAAATGCATTATGAACCTTCCTGAGGAATCTAGGCCAGTATTGGACAGAAAATGACTGCAGAGTGGGTGACATGTTAGTTTCTAATAGCTGTTCATAACTTATTGTTCAAGTTCTTTGCTACTCATGATAACATTTTTCACACTTCTTAGAAGCCAGCTGATTAACAACTCAGTTTATTTGAAAAGATGAGGTGATTTCATTTTTATTTAAAAAGGGTCTTTACAATACCAGACACACTCTGACATCCTTTGTCAATAGGCACCTGAATTTTGCAACTGCAAAAAGAATAGGGAACTCCAAGAAAAAAAAAATGCTAGAGATCTGTTTGACCTGCCTTGATTTTCTCTCCTTCTGCCTGATGGCAGCACTCTATTGGAGGAGGAGGAGCCTTTAGGTTAAAATCTATAGAACCAGGAACAATATCTTTGAATTATAATTTTATTTTAAATGTAAACTTCCAATGTTTTTTGTTTGGCTGTAATTAAAATCTAGCTTGGTTCCCTTCCCCTCATTATTCAAAATGGTATCTGCATAAAGAGAACAGTTTTCTTTTCAGTGCAAGACCTAATTACTATAGATGCAATGTCTGGGAACTGTTATAATATCACTGGAAGCCTTAAAGATAGCTCTCTCTCTCTTTCTCTCTGAAAAATTGCATAGCATTTACCGGTATGTTATGTTTTGGAAGACCTTTGAGAATAACTAAGGGCCTCTGCAGACAGGTGGCTCTGGGCCTCCCCGGGAAGTGGGACTGGGGCCGAGGCAACCCAAGCCACAGCCCTGATCCTCCCTTTTGCCACCCCAAAAAGAGCAACAAAATGCTGTGCTGGGATGGCATCCTGATGCTGCGCACCGCGTGTCTGCAGAGGCCCTAAGTCCCCCCCACTCAGGAACATTGCGGAATTCAGAAATACAGGGTTGGTTTTTTACTTAAAAAAGAGAGAATGCAAGCTAATAACCTCAAGAGCTGCTTCTTTGCAATGCACTGATAATATTTAGCAAAAGGGAATCACATTCTAAGAGCCAGTGTGGTGCAGTGGTTTCAGTGCTGGTCTACAACTCAGGAGACCAGAGTTCAAATCCCAGCTCAGCCATGGAAAATCCATTGGGTGACCTTGGGCAAGTCACATTTTTGGCCTCAGAGGAAGGCAAAGCCAAACCTCCTCTGAACAAATCTTGCCAAGAAAAACCCATGATAGGTTTGTCTTAGGGTTGTCTTAAGTTGGAAATGACTTGAAGGCACACAACAACAACAACAACAACATTTTTAGGGAGCAGAGATTACTCTTTCTGTGCAAAGTAAACAAACAAGTTGTTTAATGTATCTGAAGTGAGTGAAATGCTTTTCAATATAAGATCACCTTTCAGGTACCTGGAAACTTCGGAGTCAAAGTGCTAGGAAGACAAAAAGGGTAAGGAACTCAGCTTTCTTAGCTAGAGTAATATACACTTGTCCCTCCACATTCACTGGGGTTAGGGGCACAGGACCT